ATGGGTTCCATTACTGTTTTCCTTCTCAACAGTAATACGAGCGACAACTGTTGGATCGAAACCAGTACCGCTGAGGGTCATTAGCCACATCGTTAGATCGAGACCAGATCTCGGTCTGGAGCGTTTGTTCAGTCCCTAATCCTCTCTGTACAATAACAGAAACAAACTCATCCAATTTTTTATTAAATTTATGAATACAATCTAAAGATGTTCTCATGCGAGTGCAAAAAGTTCCAGGATCTCCACCTTTGGATGCCATCATCTCCACCCTCAAAGGCCATTCCTCTTACGTTTTCTCCCTCGTCCTCGCGGGGAAGTTCCTTTGCAGCAGCTTCTCTGATGAAGAGAAGCTGATGCCCAAGAGCCGTCTCAGACCAACAACGTGGTTGCTGTCGGCAAGGGCACAGTTAAATCTCTTATGGTCTCCGGTGACCAACTATTCAGCGCCCACCAGGACCACAAGATCCGTTCAGAAATCGAAGAAGATCGATTATCTGCATTGAACCCACCGTCTTCCGCCTCCTCATTACTACTGCTGCAACAGCATCTTTCTCTCCCTGTTGCCCCTGTTTCATCACCGCCACTGCTGCGGACCCTCTCCAACAGCGGCTCTCTCTCTCCCCGTCCCCTTCGTTCTCTCTCCCCCGTTCCTTCGTTCTCTATCTCCCTCTCGCCCCTGTTTCATCACTACTGCTGACAAGCTTAGCAAATAGCAACCAACAACAATCTCAAACTAGTAGAGATTAAAAAGATCACATAAGTCTTAACTCAACAGTGAGCATGACCCAAGCCCAATTCACAAGAAGCCATGAAAACACAAAGCAGAAAAACTTTGATTCCACGACAAATATTAGTATCTGATGCGGTATACACCACTAGAGCCAACAGAATCCCCACAATATGGCATTCCAAGCCTATCCAACCGCCCTGAACCAGGGTACACTTTACTGGTGAAGTTGGCGTAAAAAACCGAAGCCCTCTGCAAACTTGATCTGAAATCCCCCAAAGGGATCTGACCTTGGCCCTGGATGATTCAGTATTTGCCATGTAATTAGGATAGTCACTGTACCCACTCAAGAAGCTTCTAGAGCAGTCACTCCTACTTGGCATGAAGGGGCCTCTCCTAGCATTATCAGGCCGCGAAGACGCAGAGAGAAACTGAGGACTGTTACTAGCATGTCATCAACCTCGTAGGAGAACTTCAGAGGGCTCAAGGGCTGTACCACAAAGCCAAGAGCATTGTGCCTCTGTTTCTTCTCAAGAACAAGGGGAAAACGATAACTGCAACTCTGTCGCTTTTTCTGTGAAAGACGATTTTGGGTCTGTTCTCGGCAGTGAACTCAGCATTCCGGTAAGCCGTTTCCCCATTAAAATAACCGATAATAGAACCATTCTCTTCTTACTTTCCGCTTAAGCTTGCGGATGCTAGAGACGGAAACCGCGGGTTATGTTGTACTGGATTCCGAATTGGAAATTGCGGACTGCCGTATATGTTCCTTTGCATCAGCTTGGAAGTCAGTATCCTATTAGGCTTGATTCCTGTTGCAATAATCCCTGAATTAACTCGTAAATCTCGCATTAAAACCCCCGCTGCAATTAATGATTCACTGGCAGAGGAGCTGAGGGTCGCCGCTATTGGCTTGCTTCCTGTTGCAACAGTCACTATGTCACCGTTGTGGTTTCCTTGAAAATGGTTTCCTTGAGAAACAGAGAGAATGAGAGAACCAGAGAAGCTGAGGGTCGCCGCTGCAAAACTGTTGTCGCCGGTCGCCGTGGTTCACCATAGTTCTCAGTAAATTGTCGGAGGTTTGAGCGAGAGAAATTGAGAAATAGAGAAAGAAGAACGGAAATGTTTTCGCGAGAAACAGAGAGAATGAGAGAGAATTAGAGAGACCAAGACCTTGCTCCATTGAAGAGGAACAAAAGGGCAAATTTGACATTTCGTTATGGCAATGACAATTGTAGAAAACTTAAGAGTATGCAAGACAATGGGTAAACAGTAGGGGTACTTAAAATTAAGCAAAATAACTCAACTGATCAATCACTTTTAAGATTTTTAACACTCATCATTAATACCCGATGAATTCTTTCTCCCTCTTTCCCATTAACTATTTTAATAATCTCTCCTCATTAATTGTGCCATTAACTCTCTCATCACCATTACTCCATTAAATTGCATAAAATACAATAAATTTACCTATATATATTTATTTCAATTTAACTACAATTTTACATGTATTAGATATATTTGCATTAAACTGTAATTATTACTAAAGATTAATTATATTGAAACTGAGATATCCAATGATATATTATTACGCTAAATAATCTACTTCCATTTAAGACAACAATCCATTTATATTCCATTTGAAAATAATATAAATTTATTAACCATAATACAAATAATTTAGTAAGCTATTTAAATAAAATAAAAATAATTATTAATTATTGTTATTAATAAAAAATATTTTATTAATATAATAAAAAATAATTTAATTTATAAAAGGAATAAGATAAATTTAAAACTAATACAAAATTAGCAAACAATTATTAGTTTTATAATTAAATTTTATTAATTAGAACCAACTTAAGTTCCATTAAACAATAAAAATTTATATAGTTAATTACAATTCATAATGAATTTAAATTTAATAAAAAAATAATATTTAAATAAATTCAATATTACTAATTTTAAAAATAATAGTAATAAATATGAATTTTAAATATAGTTTAATTATTTTAAAATCAATTTAAATTTCATTTAAAAATAAGAAAAATATAAAAACCTCATTGGGTTTTCTAACAATCCTATGGAACTCTCTAGTGTTTTGGCCTTAACAAAAACCTCTTTGGGTTTTCTAAAAATCCTTGAAAAAATATGCAAATACCTTCCTTCCGTCATTAATCCAAATGAAAAATGTTGATGTAATGCATTAATTTTACTTCACTTCAGCCTTTTCACCTTACTTTGTCTAAGAAGAGTAAGGAGAATTATTCTTTGAAAGTTGTTTGGCCAAATAAATTAGTGGAGGGTAAAGTTGAAACTTTAAATTATGCATGATAATGCATTAACAATGGTAAGGGTATTTTGGCAAATTCAATGACTTTGTTACCGAAAAGCCAAGGGAAAGGAGGAATTTGTACTTTTTTTCTCAAAATTATAGGGAGGCCTTTGTTAGGGTCAAAACACAAAGGTGGTTTATATAATTGTTATAATACAAAAATAATAACAAACCAATAAAAATTAATAATTTTTTTTAAAAAATAGCATTAAAATACAAAAAAAAATAATACAAATTTATCTAGAGAATAGGAAATTGGCCACTTTAGAACTTAAATTGTGATTGGATAAACTATTGACATAACCCCAAAAAACAATACTTGAACTAAACTTAGATGAACACCATTTAATTGGAAATTGTGATTGTATAATAATAATTCATATTTAATTATAATTAATTTGTCAGTAATACTAGTTATTATAATAATTATTAATTGTTAATAGTTAATTATAATAATTCTTTTAATTAATAATAATTACTAATTATGAATTATTATATTAATTAATTATTGCTTAGTAATTAATTAACTTTTTAATTATTATTATTATTATTATTATTTATTAATTAATTAATAATAATTATTATTATTATTATTGCATATGAGGCCTTTGAATTATAAGGAAGGAGAAGTGTCTTGTATTTTGGGGGTATCATTGGCAAACAAAAAAATGTAAGATTCCTCTTTAAGAGGAGAAAAAGAAATAAACAACCACTTTCCTCTTAAAGGTGTAAGATTCCTTTCAAGAGGTAAGAAATAAGAGGAAACGACAAGCCCTTAATGTCTTCCCAAGTCCCTAAAACCCAAACCCCTTTACCTTTTCTTCTTCTCAACATCAAAACCTAGTTCACCGCTTCCCAATCTCACCATTGCCCTACACTAATTAGATTAGATCCAACATAGCATGGTTATTTCAGATCAATCATAGGAGAAAAGCAGATTTTATCCTTGGATTTTGCAAGAACTGGGTTTGCCCAACCCATATATTGGCATTTCAACAATGTTTTTTTATTCTTTTTAAGAGCTTGGGTATTCAGTAGTCAAGATCAAAAGTGACTCATTGGTAGCAATTCAGATCATCAACTAACCTATAAAGCTAAGTCTTTGGTGTTTGTTGAAATGGTTGGACAGTCACAGAATTGCAGAATTATAGAGGGACGTGATAGTTTCTTTTTATGTTCTTCATGAACGAGTTTGAATTGTGCAATGTACACCCATGTTATGTTGGGTCCGGTGTCTCATTCATGACTCATGAGGACCAACTAGGTCTTCCTGTTATTAGATTTCACTAGTATTTTGTAATGGACTGACCTGGGTTTAAGAGTGCATCTCTTGTATTTTGGGATTAAGGCAAGGCCTTTCTATATCCTCCCCTGGACTTTTTTGTTTGTTTTCATCTGAAATTGGTTAATAAAATTTTAAGGTGGCCACTCTTTCACCTGAAGTAAAGTTTGATAGTTGAAAAAAAAAATATGATGAATTATATTATAACAAAAATCACATTTTAAATTCATCGATACCTATGAGAATCTCTGACAAAACCAAGGATCTGTTTGGTTTGTAGATGGAATCGGAATCAAAATCCTTTGAAATCAGAATCTGAATGGTTTATTCCCATAATCTGTTTGGTTCAAAAAAGAATCAGAATTAGAATTGAAATCAAATGGAATGAGATTTCGTTCCCAAGGGAAGGGGAGGGAATGGTCATTCCTTCAAATGGGGGAATGCCATTCCACCAGAAATGGAATTGGGATTCCGATTCCTCCCAACCAAACAGTTGGAATTTCCAGACCCCTATTCCTGTGAACCAAACAAGACCCAAATAATTTTTGGGCAAATAACTTCACAAGAACTGATTCTTTGGAGATGGATAATGCATGTCACGCTTGTCTGTCTGGTCAGGTAGCTTAATTAGAATTCAAATATTCAAGATATATATATCTTCAAACTGAGCCTAAGCACAGAAGAGTTGGCCAAACACTAGCTAAGATATTATTATATTTTTAACCCTTCAAACTACAGATAGTTTAATGGCCACATCCGAACTAAAGATCGAAAAAGAAGAACAATACAAGCATACACTACATGACGATACGAGGACAACTAAAACATAGCACATCCTTCAAACACATTTAGATAAGAGCAACCACTTCATTAGCTCCTTGTTTCCTGCAAGAACAAAGACATCGACCACAATAAGGTCAAATTGATTATAATTGAAGGATTATCAATTTAGTATATCTACTTTATATTATGTTCAGCAATCTTATAGATCATCATTGATATAAAAGCTAATAAATCAGACCATCAAACCAGCGAATTTAACTGGACAGAAAAGATGTTAAAATGATGAATCCAACTACTTGACTTATACACACAGATTGGGGTGTAACTTGGGTGGGCACAACCGAGCTCAGACCAATTAAGCTCGGATTTTTATATTTTTCGGGCTGGATTCAGGCATAGCCCTTAAGAAGTCCGAACTCAGTCAACCTTATCGCAATTTAAGCTTAACCCAATTATATGTATGTATATATGTATATATACATATCCTTTTAATAAATTATACATACATATACACAGATATATACCAATTTTTAGTATAAGCTAATTGACCAATCCAATTCCAACCCAAGAATGGTTCAAACCCAAACTCGGACCGAATAGTTTGAGCTTGACCTCAGACTCAGGCCGGACACCCAACCCACTCGACTTGCATCCCTGCACACATATACACGCAGCAATGTGGGGGAGACAGAGGGAGGAGACCTTAGCATTTGGCAGGTGGATTAAGGTTGCATTTCGTAGGGAGTTGCATGGCAAAGTCAGGATTAATCCCAAGAGAAGGCAAGAGGATGGAGTTCTTGTAGGAGCAAAGACAAGACAAGTCAGCACTGGAGAGAGCCTTGCAACACGCCGGCGACGGGTCTGCAGGATTTTGCTTGCTCACCGCCGGCTTGCAAGCTAATAGGTCGTTCTCGCTCATGTTACACAAGCTAACTTCCTTGGACATCACCTCTTGCATCCCAAATATTACCGTCATGACCAGAAACACCACGACAATCCTTGGGAGCATTTCCATGTTTGGACTACTGTCACTATTCTGAACTCCTCACTTACAGCAATGGAGCAGTCTCTCCTCCGCTTATATAGAGATCAGCAGGAACACAAGTTTGGGGCCCGTGACTGAGGACTGTCGTGACTCAAAACTCACGGGAGTAAGCTGGACCACAGTAGAGTATTCTTTTTGCATTCTTCGGTTTAAAAAGCTGTCTGTCATTGATAGTTTAAGTAGAACTGTGGTTTGTGGGTCTCGTGAATGGTGAAGTAGAGATAAGGGTTAATGTTTCTCGGTCGTGGCAACCATTTTGTCTTATGATGTTTCTTAAAGTTCGCACAAGTTTTGATTCGCTGAACCTCAACCTCTCACACATCTCACAGTTTATATTTATCTATATGTACTAGTAAGACTGCAAGAGGCCACGGGGAATCGGGGATGAATTAAAAGATAATCAACACAAATAAACAACACCACCACTTAAATTAGCTCTTCTCTTGGTCCATGGTTTTCAAAATCGGATCGGACTGGACGGTCGGATCAGAAAAATTGGTAATCGGTCAGGTGATTGGTTCTATTTTTCCCTAAAATTGGATTTTGATCAAAAAAGCGTTAATTTGATCAACAAACCGTTGATTTGGACGATTGAACCATTCGAACCGTTCAACAGTTTTGACTGTTTTTTTATTTTTTGTCAGAAAGCGTCAATCGTTCAGTTCGAATGATCGGTCCGTTCGATCCAAAAACCGAACCCCTGACCAGTTCGTTGTCCACATTGATTTTAATTAAAAACCTTGTCTTGGTCTGTACCAAAAACAAAATATGTCCGAAGTGTGGGATCAAACCAGAATAATCCCACCAAATAAATAATGCGATCAAGAAAGCCACCAAAATGGCACAGAACAGCTTAAAAGGCTATAAAGATAGCAACAAACCGCTCAACCTTGTTTATATTCAAGATGGTTATCGTGCAAATACAAGTCGTTCTTGACTTTGTTTAGCCAATGGATTTGTTAAGTGTCAATTGATTCAGGTAGCCACCTAAGCAAGGTGTTCATTGTTCACTATAGATGACAGATAGCTGGAACTAAGGGTGTCAATGGAACGGTTTTAGATTGGACCCTGTTCAGTTCAAAATCAATTTGGATGGATTGGACCAACCAACAAGACATATTGGATTAGACCAATTTAGCCCAAAATACTTATTAGATTGGATTGGACCCATCCATCCATAATAAATTTATATTGGATTAGGTTGGATTAAGCCAATATTAGGTCCATTGATATAAGATAAGAATATATGTGTTAACGGATCGGATTTGGGTTGAAACCAATCTAAATCAAAACAAATGTGAACATATTGAACGATCCAAACATTGAATTGGACTGATAAAAAATGATCCAAAATATTCATGAATTGGGTTGGACCTAATCCATTTGTAATGGACTCACATTGGACCAGATTGGATTGGACCAAATCCAATCCAATTGGCACCCCTAGCTGGAACGAAATGGACAATAGACCAAAGACCTTAAGTAGTCCTCATGAGAAGTCATTAACCTTGGACGATGACCCAAGAAAGAATCTCTTCACAAACCCAATTCTTGTAGCCATCATTTGGACCAAAATACACACAAAGGAATCTTTGTTTATGGTTTCTGAAAGCCTCTCCTCTCAAAGAACCTATATTGCTAAGAAACCAAAGACAAATCAAAATCATTCTATTGATAAACAAACCAAAATCAAGTTTTTAATAGAAGTTTAAAGCCATTTAGGCTATGAGTATGAAGTTTTTGAGACTAGTCATCTATATGGTCTCTGCATTATATTGAGTTTAAATTTATAGAGATATGGCAGTTTCATTATCTAGTAATTTTATTATATCTTGATTCCTCAATCATATTACAGATGGTACAGAAATCCTACTCTAACAATACAAGCCTAGCTAGGACCAAGAGTTTGGTAGCTGATTTTCTTTTTACGTATATGTTTATTATAAAATAATAATACTTGCCTTGGCCCCATATCCAGATTACCATTACAACACAACCAAATCAACTCATGATTAAGGACTTTGATTCCAATCATCAGTGTATCAATGCCATCAGCACCACCTGCAAGGAACCTCTTGGGGGTTTAGATATCTTTAAGTACATTTTCATCATTGTTGCATTGGATAATGCCATAGCTTTTGTAAAAAAAAAAAAATGAGTCTCTTCCTCAATCTAGCATAGAATTGTAAAAGTCCTATAGTCCCATGTTATCCACGGGCTTGGAATGTGGGTCGTGCTAGGCCAACCCCCCAAGTTATCCCAAGGGAGTGCAGCACAACCCGGGAAGGCCTACGGGCCATGCCGTGCCAGCCCGGCATGACCCGTTTTACATGTCTAGTATTGTCTTACCAAGTTATGCCTTAAGCGGATATGACATCTTTGAAGGGATGAGAGATCCATCCCATGGACGCCCAATGATTGCGGAATAAGGGGCGAATTTCAAAAATTTTATCTCTCCCTTCAACTGGGAATCGTATTCCCTATTTAAAAAATCATATTTTCAATGATCAATCTTGAACCATAAACTGAACCAGATCTGAACCAAAAAGAGTGGGAGAGGA